GGACTATTCCTAATGTCTTCTCTATGCTGTTGCAGATTCTAACTAACTCAGATACAATTTCAGGAGGAAGCTGGATTCAGAGGCAGCAACTGCTTCTGTTTAATATTTTTTTTCTCCTCTAGGTTTGTGTGAACACTCTTTGGGCCCGATGACATATTAACAGCTACGTTAAACAACTAAAGTGAGGTGACTGTGCTGACTCCAGTCTCCAACCTTTGCCACCGATGTTCTGACTCGTTCCTAATTTGAAATTATTGCGACACGTAAAGATTTTGTCAGCCTCTTGCACTTCGAAGCACTTGCCAAGTGTTTTCTCTGCTGGAGCCTACCCGGCCTTTGGGCCCGGTTGCTGTCATGGCACGGTGGGTGAAGAACACGGTACAGCCACCACCGCAGGGTGCAGCCATCACCTCTGTTTATGCCCTGTGCAGAGGCAGCTCTGCACTTGGGAGACAACCATTACTACTGCTGATCTGATGACCCTGGTTACGTGTTCTGTGAATCCAGCCCCCTGTGCTATTCCAAAATTCTTCAGACATTCTTCAAGAAGCATATTCTATTTCAGGTACACTTGAAACCCAGCTTTCTGCTCTGCCCTCTTGTGCGGAGCACAGAGCTACTCTGCCAGCCTTTATGTAGGCTGAGACACGCTGCTTTCCCTTGTGCAACAGATTTCCCCCAGCTACAGTGCCTGAACATGCTCAGTAAAAGCTTTTCTGTTCTTGCACAACCCAGCTCGGATTGCTGAGCAGCAACTGCTCAGAGTTCAGCACTTTGCTTAGTTCCTTTCCTCTGCTGATGTACTTAGTGCACAAGTTCAAATTCTTCACCCAGGAGCCAGTGGTGTGGCCGCTCCACATTCAAGCTACAGCCAAACTGACCTGTGGTGCGTCAGTTTATTTCTTACTCTACCAAAGGGAAAAAGGAAGGACTTAGTGACGTCTGCGCCTTCCACACACAGTACAGAAGACATTTCTATTGTGCATTCACCTCAAAAAAATTGAAAAAAATAATGATGAAGATAAACCTGTAAGACAATACAGCTACTGCTGTGTTAAAGAAGGCTGAACAGCCCTTAAAGTGACAGTCTGGGGAATAAATGGTATGTAGTGTCTAGGAAAAAGCAAACCAGTTTTCTCATAAATGGGTTTTACCTATTTTGGGGTTTACTTTTTTTAGCCTACCCACCAAAGGGGACATACCCCGTAAACTACATGAACTGAACCATCTCTAAGGGGACTGCTAAAACTAATGGTAGCCTGTGCTTCTCAAGATGATGGACAGTGATTCTCTAGAATATAAATAACTGTTAGCTTACATTAAAATAAAAAAGTTGTTGGTTTTTTTTTTTTAAAAAAGCTTACTACTTCAAAGTAAGAGATCCAGAATCTGAAAGTACAACCGCTACCACAGTTTTGGTTCTGATCACACGCACGTTACAAAATAGTCTTTATGTACAGAATCATAGTACTTTTAATCCACCACGGACCCAGGACGTGGATAAGTAATACACAGAGTGGCTAATTCTGACTAAATGGATCTCTTCACTGTTTCTCACAGAATAGGTATGGCATGTGAGGCTTGAGGGCATCCTCCTCATGCAGCACACTACAGCCCCGCCACCTGAGAGTGACAGAGCTGCTTAACCAAGCAGCTGTAATGATTTACCTACACTGGACCTTTGCCTTAACCTTGTTCCTGGAGCAGTTTCATATGAAACGCTCCTTGGAATTAAAGGGTCAGCATTATTCTTGTAGGAAATTTCAATCCAGATGGCTAATGTTTGCCAAAGTTTTGACGCACAACAGAAAAACCTGTTCTCAAAAGGGAAAGGGCTAATAATCTTTACTAAAGACTGTACTGGAATATGTGCTCAGAGAGAAGCTGCTTTAGGGAGCCTTCTGCCTATTCAGACTATAGAGACACATTCTTGCTGTGCAAAACTACCCCTCCTGTCTTAGAAACTAATGTGTGAATGAACTTGAGGTTAAAGGAATATGCAATATGCTTAAAAAAACAGGTCTGGATACTTCTCATTAAATGAGAGGGAAGGAAAAAAAGCCTCACCAGTATCTTGGTTTGATTTTTTTTTTAATGACTAAGTGTAACAAAACCAAGCAACCATGAACAAGATTAATTGTACACATACTATAACTAAATTGTACACATACAATTGTGAATTGACCTCAATACTTGTTCCCTCCTGACTCTTCCTCCCCCTCTCACATGAAAGATTCATGTACAATACAGCTCTGAGCCACTGCTCAAAGTCAGCAGAAATATTTTCATTACCTTCAGTGGAAAATGTATTAGGCCAGGCATTGAAATAAAACTTTTCTACCTTCTCTTTTAACTTCCTGTACCTCAGTGTTTGTTTTCATAGATCACAGTACCTTTCCTGACTACCAGATTAGTATTTCCATACTGGCAGGAATCCTCTTAGAGTCACATATTTCTTCCTTTTGACTCGACTGCTTATTTCAAAGGCTGTTATTTGATTCAGATGTAAGATTTATATGATCCAAGATGTGCAACTTAAATTTATAATCTAATCATTTAATTTGATAGTGCAAATACAAAACTAGCAATTAAGTGGACCAAAAAAAATTTCTTACAGGACAACTCTGTTCAATCCTTACTCTTTCAGAAGGACTCCTTGGTAAATCCTGTTAAAAAAACACATTATCTGTTTTGTGTTAACAGATTGATCCCATGAAGGAGAACAAATTCCTATAATTCATTGTGTTGAAGACCTTGAGAGATTCTGCTGGATAAGTCTTGCAAGTGCTTCTTTACCTAGCAGGAAAACAGAACACATCAAACAAATTTTAGTAAGACGATGAATTATCAATGTCATACATTCAGATTTTGCTATCAGTAAATGTGACAACAGATTGAGATCAGGGAGATGTCAGGCATTTTACAATTATGTCTATAAAAATCAATTATGTGTATTCTGTACTAAAAATGGTGCACAGGTGTGCCTTAAACTCCCTCTCTGGAAATCATCCAACTTGCCTGAAAAATCAGCACTGAATAATCTACATACCCTCTACTTTCAACATGTATGCACACTGGATTTATACAGACCTTATATCCTAGTTCTTTTGTCTTTTCTTCCAGCATGGCATACTTCTCTTTGTTTCTGTTCAGATGATCCTTATCTCCAGTTCCCTCTACATGCTTCAGTTTCTGGTGTGAAATCTCTAATTGTTTCTGATAATGATGGTGTTTTTCAATTTTTGCTTCAAAGTGTTTCAGCTCCTCCTAAGACAACAAATACACACAGCTTCACAGCATTTTCTTTCAAGGCTTCACCTCTCTTTTCTTGCCAAGATATCCCTAATGCTATTTTAAAGCACAGAAATCTTTTTTGGTTCCCGTCTTCTTAAGAATGTCGGGACAATATATTATCATCACCACCCAGACACCCAATTTTGAAGGCAGGTTCTGAAAACCTTCCACTGCAGAGCCCTCAAAAGGAGACTGCTGATGGCTGCGAGGTGCTAGGAGATGACCACAGTGAATACCAAATAAAAGCCTGTACATAAGAATAGTGGACTGGAAGGAAGGAAACAGAATTTTTAAGAGAAGTCTCTTTTCAAAATCAGGTCCTGGATTTGTTATATTCTGCTCAGACTTAAATGTTTTTTGGGTTTGCAGTCTGCTATGATGAATTTGAAATAGGATGAATTGATTAACAAAAAGCCCTCTTAGTTCGCCTCAAAGACAGTGGTCAGACGAACTATGGTGTTCAGGGACATATCAGAGACGGACCTCAGATAACTTGGTACACTGCAAGGGGGACCAAAGAATGAGTAATGGCTCTAGCCACCAAAGCATGCTCTTGTTTTGCTACTTCAGGGCAGCATATTCAGCTTCTCTGTGTCTTAGGACACGTCCTCTGTGAAGAGGATATGAACAGTTCAAACTGTTATGCCACTTACGGCAGCAGCTCCATGCATTACATTCAGAAAAACTCAGACAAACCCTACAGTGAAATCCCCTCATTTGACAGAGCCCATTTAATTTTGGTCACTGGTGTGTTTCAGTCCTGGTAGCTGACAAAATTCCTCTCAAGATAATTAAAAAAGAAAATATATAAATCCATCATCCTAATAGATCTTCAGTTTTTGAAGCAAAAGGTTTTGTTTTCAACATTTCTGACAAGAAAATAGTTTCCTTTTGAACATTCCAGTCTGTTTTACATACTCTGTTCAGGACCTCAGTTTGGAGTTTTGCTGCTCTAATAAATCATTTCAGCTGCTCTCCTCAGATGATGTACCAGCAGAGCAGCACTTGCATCTTTCATTATGAAACCCTTATGAAAGTTGGTACTGTGGCCAGTCAGAAGAGGACACAATTTCAGCTGCTCAGACAAGACTGAATGGAACCAGCACATGATGCCTTTAATTCTGCTTTCATAGACTTTTTAAATAGGCAGACATTTCACTGTGACTCTTACTGTCTTACTTTTGTTAGGATGTCCCAACATTCACACAAGACAGGTTTCATCTGGTGAAGAGGGTTTGCATGAATGAAGATTTCTACTAAACAGTAAAATTAATAAGCAGATACGTGTTCTTGCTTATGGAATTGTTTTTTTCTTTTTTCACTGCAGCAGATATAAAGGCCAAATTCACCTCTCGTGCAATTGTACAGTCCTAACCAACATGTCCCACTGAGGTCAGCAGAAGCCTTGTTGCAGACTTCAGCAGGCTTTCCTCTGACGCTCTTAAAAGCAGGGCCACTGAAATCAGCGTAATTAAAACGTTCGCTTTGTAAGAGAATCCAGCTGCATGTAAGTTTAAAGAAATACGATAGATCTTTGATATCTATTAGAGACAGGTTTCAATGCCTGTCCCAGGCAGTCAAAACTCTCTCATTACCTTATCCAGAAAAGAAGATCAAGGTGTCCCTAGCCATGTCTTGCAGGGTAAAACAACACTGTAAGTACATGCAACTCCACGAAGAAGCCCTGAAGAGTTACTTCTCCAGGCTATCAATCAAAATACATTCTGATAAATAGGTAGAGTCAGATGAAAAAACCAATGTTTTCTCAATGCAATTTGAATTAAATAAAACCAGTATGAACCCCACGGTAACTAATTTCTACAATATTTCCTTGAAAAGTGGTCTTTATCATGGTACTTTTGGGTCCCAAAGAAGTAATTACATTAAGACATTGGGTAAGAGAGGGAAATCTGGTGCACTGGAAACAAACAAGCAGGGCCCGATCTTTCAAAGATCCAAAATATGCAATGCTTGCTTTCACAGGATTTAGAATCTTCATTTTGCTGATTATAGCAGAACCATGCATATGACTAGTTACATACATGCTCATATATTTGAAATATTAAGAAAGAAGCATGACTCTCTTTTATGGTGTCTGAAGAGCAATTCAGAAACAGCTGCACTCACAGTAACATTCAGTGTTTCTCCATGTGGGAAAATATCTTTCCATAAGAGATCTAACCGGAATTCTACTTACCCGAAAAGATTCAAGTTCTTTCGCAGTGAAATTGGCCGATTTGGCCATGTCCCACAAATCAATCACTCTTGGTTCTTCAAATTCTAAACAAAGACGTATCACTAAATGAAAATCTGGACACAAATGCTTTTATGCCCAGCTTCTTGAAAGATGAGCATGCTTTCTCACATATACACACACAGATATATTAAGCACTGCACTACTAATAGGACTACTTAGATGAAAAGGGAGAAAAATCCTAGTACTTAACTTAAAACTATAGTATTGCCGTAGCAAGTATTTTTTAAAAAGCAAAAAAAAAAGCCCCTAGGAACTGAATAATGGCACTGTTTGCCCTGCATGTTGTCTCACTTACCTGCCATCTTGCGGCTGAGGGTGTAATATCTCTTCTCCTGTGGGCATGGAAGACAGAACTATCTTCTTTACAGATTGTCCCTATCCTTTCATTAGTTGTCTAATGTTGGCTTCTAAATAGAACAGGCTGGCTGTATCTCTTCAGCCCATCATGGTCACACCAAGTACTGTGATACTGTGATTACATCTTAGCACTTGTCCACTAATTTTTACTTTTTTAAAAATGAAATTAATCTCAAATAAGCATAAAAAACACTGTATCATACCACTGGTTGAGTCATATCCCTGGTGACTGACTTTACGCAAACGTTCAAACCCCTGATTGATGCTTCTTAGCTTGTCTTTGAGTTCTCTGTGCTTGTTGTGCAAGATTTCCTCTTTCACCAGGTTCTCTTCAGATGGGTTGATAACATTTTTGTGGATATCTGTTGAAGAAGAAAAGCGTTATTGATTGTGGGCCAAATCCTGATAGGTCCAAAGCTCCAGAAATCCCCCAAATCTGAGGTGAATAAAAGATGGTAAGCTCTCAGCATTTGAGCTGAGTGTAAATAAAGCATCAGCACCACACTTCAAGCAGCAGTAATTCCTTTTGCAGGTCAGTATCAAGATCAATGGCCCTCAGTGCTCTGGAGGGTGATTTACAGAGATGTCTTATAACTCCTACTGGCCACCAGCCAAGATTTTATTAAGGAAATGTCCTTGTTTTCCCAGGTGAGCAATATCCCAAGGAAATGGAATAGGGATGGAGTCCTGTACCCTCTTCCCTGGGCATTCCACAAACCAATCAGGACCTCTGATGTTGAAATGACTTCCAGCAGCTTCCAGCTTGGACTCTACAATGCAAACACCAAACTGCCTATAAGCTTTAGAATACTTTGGCTCTAACAATTTTAGCTAGGATTAGTACAGCAAGCTGGATTCAGATCCTTGTTGCTTTAACACACTTCAGGCTCAGTGCCTAAGGTATTCAAGCATATCCTTTTGGGCTCCCAGCTGGTGAGATAAAACATGCATGTTCTGCAGAGTGTAGGATGGCATTTTGCAGCAGTGGATCTACGCTTGTTGCATAATTTCTAGTAAACTACTGTGGCCATCACTGCTAATCTGATGGTATCTTCCCTGCTTGAAACGCAGGCAGAATCAGAAAACTGAAACGGCAACGTTTTCATTAGCTGACAAGATTTTTGGCAGCTAACGCAGAACTAAACCCAGCAAGTATCTGGAAATGTCAGCATCTGCAAGCAGGTCTGACAGAAATGTCAAGACTTCAGGAGTTTTGAAGAAACTTGAAAACAATGGAGGCAATGGGCAGAGGAGAGTTGTACTGATCTCAAAAATCAGAGAAAAGTTCAGGCACCTTCTGTTCTGCTCACGGTCTCCAGCAGAATATTGTATTCGTGAACCTTTTCTTTGTGATGCTTAAATTCTCGCCAAAGCTTATCCAACTCCTCATCGGAGAACTTCCCAGAGCTCTTGGCCTGAAAGAAACATAAGCTTATTATGCTTCCCAGGCCAAATGCTTTTAAGTGCACTAAACTGCCAAAACTTCTTCCCACTTCCCACTACATTTAGAAAATTATTAAGCCCAGCTTTTCCTTAAGATATTTTGGTTTAAATCCCTTTTTATTAGTATCAGGTCAGGATTTAGACATCAACGGATGTGACAGCTTTAATCATGTCAAAAGGAAGTTTGCTTCAGACTTTCAAAGCCAGACTGGCTATGGACTACCCACTGAAAAGTGTCTGTCATTTCTGTTCCATGGGAAACGATTCAATACAGAAATAAGGGCCACGGAGCTCCATATGCAACTGTGAGGGGACTGTTTGCGTGAGGGATGCAGCCCGATATTAAACATAGTCTTTACTTAATCTGACTCTATTGGCAAGTGAAGATTTTATCACTGCCGTGCACTTGCTCTGCAGTGATTTTTTCCTTACTGGACTACTTTTTAGCAATTAGGGAAGCACTGGTCAGACAGTGGGAACACTACTCACAAACCTGGTGACATTTCTGTAATGCATGATCAAAAGTGAATGTTTTTGATACATACTCAGCCCCAACCCTTTTTTTGCTTAGGGAATATTTCTACCGGATGCACTTCATTGTTCCCCAAAACACATGACATCAGGTCTCTTGTCAGAGCTGTATCTAGTTACAGCAACATTTTAAAACCTAGCAAATCTTCTTCTCTGCTTTACTACCACTAGACTAGACTGGTGTAAGAATTCTTTACTTTACCTGACTACTTGTTTCTTAAAACCTGAATTATTTGGTTCTTGAAGATCCAACTTCATCAGTTTTAATGACGCAGACTGACAGTACATTTTCTATTTTTTCACGCATTAATGCAAATCCTGGAAATTTTCACTTGAATACCAGGTTGGGAAAGTGTTATTTAACATCCTCCACTATACATTTCACTTTTAAACATTCCATGAAATGGTTCTGTTTTAAATGCATCTTTTTAAAAAAATCCCAGAAATAACAGGAAAAACACCACAGGTGTACTACCACACAGTGTAATAGTCACACAAAGGGGAACCATGAGTTCAGTGAAATTTGAGGAAACACTGTCCTCAGAAGACCCAGGATCTTATCCTCCATGCAGACTGATGCAGGTGTTTTCTTTGGCAAAGAGAACTTGCCACACCTGGTGACCTGAATGCGGGTGGGATGCCCTCAGGGCACGAAGATGTGAGAAACAGAGCACAGCAGCTTGGCCAGTACTTAAAAGCAGAGTACTAAAGCTATTAAATTCCCAGACTAGGGGCTCTCAGAAGACACAGACAATAGTTCAACGAAGAAACACTGATTTCCCACACTCCAGTTCCTGGAAACTTTACTCACCTTGCTCCATAATTTTTCCAGTCTAGGATCATCGAGTGTATCACTTTCTGTACCATCTTTAATGTAGTTGGTATCCACTAGTTGAGAGTCCTTCTTTCCATTCATTCCGTATTTAGTCATAATGACTGTGAGGGAATATAAGATGTAGAAACATTAGGACCAACTATGGATGTACAGGATAGATTGGCTACATCCTTGACTTGCAGAGCTGGATTTTGCAGCTCATAGTGGAAAAGCTAACCATTTAAGATATAGAGGTCCCAGGTTTAATGACCTCTTCTGAAAACATCAGGAGCAAAGGAGTCTGTTAGCTTCCTGCAGCTCCCTACTAACCTCCAAAGAACTTGTGCCTGCTCAGTGTCTGGAAAGACAACCTGTTATGTCATGGTTCAAACACGAACACAGGTGTCTAACCATGCATGTGGACGCAAAATTGAAACTCCTTCTGCAAAGATATACCTTACCATTTAAGTTGCGTCTGAGTTTGGCTTCTTTCTCTCCATCTTCATCTAGCCCTTCAGCCTTCAGTTTTTTCCAGCTTAGCTCATCCTTTTCTTGTATTTTTAGATCGCTGTGCAACTCTGCCAGTTTCACAGCAGAGAGATGAAGCTAACAAGAACAGAGAAAGGTTTGTATTCAGTTATGTGGAATTGCTTCTGGCTGCAGTGTTACCTCAGAAGCCAGTACAGAGCACAGACAGTACAGCACAGCATTTTTTTTTCTTTTAGTCTAATGCTATGTATCGATCTGGATTTAAGGGCCTTAAGGTATGAGCCACTGCATACGTAACATCTGTTGACTACGAACATGGCTATGCCCCCAGCACACTAGTGTTAACAGAGAGTGATCAGCCTTCTCTCTCAGCTCTTCAGATACATGGACAACAGTGAAATTACTTAAGGGTTAAAAAATTTGGTCTTTGGTGTTCCTTCAAATATTATTTAAATGGGATTCCTCCCCCATTTTTAATGGGACTGCCTTCCAAAAATGATTCTACCTTAAAAATGTCCAGTACCAATAACAAAGAATGTAAAAAAAAAAAAAAAAAAAAAAAGAATTCAGTTTCACTAATTTACAAAAGGCAGTAATGACCAAATTTCTCAAACATGCCACTGCCACCACATGTGCTTTCTTTAGACCACCCTCTAAACATATAGTTACAGCGAGTCAGCAAATTTTGTCAGTATGGTTTTGCAGACTACCAGGACACTGAGGATGGCCTTGCAGGTCAAAGAGCCACTTCATCAACAACTTTTACTATGGTCAAAGTGCAAAATTTTCTAAGTTAACTTCTTAACACGGTTTCCGTGGATTAAAACCATACAAAACCTAGAGGTATTCCTGTCCCACATAACAGAACAAAAGAGTAAGATATTGAGGCTAAAGCTATGAAAAAAAAAATATTAGGATTTAAACAGCTTGAAATTTTGTGAAATACAGAGAAAACAGGAACAGAGACAATGACTAATATGCAGTTGGCTAAGCAGAACTGCTGTAAGTTGAGTCCTAACTTCTGAACTTCCAGATTTTAGACACTTCAGTTATTCAATTTAAAACAAAGAAATTTAACAAATTATATTAGTGCTGTTTCAGTCCTTCTATCTCTGACCACTGAGCAGCCAGCTCCTGGGAGCTCAGATCCAGCTCTGAACCACCTGGGCTCACTGGTTTTAGGACAAACTTATTTATTGGAGGGAGCTTTTTCGTCATTAAAATCAAATTACAGAATATAAAAATTCTCATTTTCAGTGAGGAAGCAGTGTGTTTAATAAACACAGACTCAGAACTCAGTATTATTTTTAAACATCAGAATGGTACTGAAAAGATTCAGCCATTCATTTGAGAGTCAGCAGGTTATTTGAAAGTAACTAGGAAACATATTATTTTGAGCCAAAGCACTAAATTCCTATTAGCAGGAATTCAGGAACCTATGCACATTATTGTTTCTGCTTTCTTCTTAGGCTGTCCTATTAATTAGTCTTGCGCTACTGAATGTGAGGAATTCCTTACCTCCACCACTACCAAAATGAAGGACAGAGAATTCATCATTGGTGCATGCAAATATTTCAAAGCAGGTCTAACACACAGGCATAGTTTTCCTCTTATTTCAGACCTTGCTCAGACATACTGAAAAATCACCTTCTAGAACACAGGCTGGGTGTCAATTGTACTCAAAAGTGAAATTTAGATTGTGGTAAATTTAGTTTAAGTAGGTTTTGCCTCTCTAAAATCTGGCTCACATACAGAATGTAGTAAAACTTAGTTCTTTACTCTGACAGAGTTAACTTCATTTTACATTCTAGCATCTTAAAGTATATGATGTAAAGCATCTCAAATTTGATTCCAGAAGATCCAGGTATGAAAATGAAAAAAGATTGGAAAAATAAGAACAGACTGACTATACTATAGTTTATTTCTAGTCTCCATGTTCTTTCTTCTTCAACTGTCAGTTCACAGTTGGAGTTTCATGATCACACACTGTCCTATTCCCCATCCCATCCTTCTCCCTTTGAAGGAAGGAGTATTTTTGATATCTTCTTTCGGCATGTTGGGAGGCAGCATTATGGCAGAGAGTCTATTTTTTGACCAAACTCAGGGATGTCCTGCCTCTAATTCAATAACTCAGGCTAGATAATGTCTATCCAGGTGTCATGGTTTGATGTGGAG